GTGAGACTGTGAACTGTAACTCATATGAGAGTCTGTGCCTCTTTAGCAGCGTAGCTGTGACTGTTGACTGTGAGACTGTGAGGCGTGAGCCTGTGTGTGACCGTGGTGACAGGTGAGTGGTCTCAGGTCTGTGATGACGGCGAGTGTGTGATAGTCTGATAGAGTGTCTTCCTCTGCACCATCCAATCTTGATACAGGGTTGTATTTTATAGAGTAAACAATTTGGATAAACAACTCCGTAGGCTTTCATCAACAGTGATGAACACATTCGACGCTTTCCAGAGCTTTTTCCAATCCATGCTAATGCTTTATAGTTCTGTTGGCTGTCGTTTAAATATATTTTTTTGGAAAAGGGAAATGTTTAAAAAAAAATCAACGTTGACCGTATATATATATATTTTATAATTTTGTTTTTTGACCGAACAGAACGGTTTATTTTTGTTTATTTACGACTCCCGAGCAAACCTTATAACGTTTATTGGCTAAATTTTTTTTTGCGTGCAACGTATCCATACTGAATTTGGCCCAAAACCTTTGGCTAACAGCGCTTATTTACATAGTGCACCTTATTCATATCTTTTGGCCATAAAACTAGGTACAGTCAAACCCGAATCAACCCTAAACGCTGTAGCCACTAGCCAGCCAGTGTCAAAATGTTTACTACATTTAATTGACCCCAATATGAAATTTAGCGCTCAACGTTTCCTGTTTAACGGATATTGTATACATTGCAACGTAGAACGTTATGAGGTTAGGAAAGAGAGAGTGTAGCGATCGAGTCTGTGACTCCGTGTAGAGAACTAGTAGAAAGACTCTAATACTAGAGACAGACACCATTGCGAGTTTGCGACCCATCAGTCCCCAGGGCCAGGGCCAGGGCCCAGGCCCCAGGGGCCCTGACTTGAATACTCTCATCATTGTAAATTGTAAAAGGAGTAGGAAGTAAGAGAGAAAAATGAAATTTCAAAATTGTGAGGTCTACACTCTACACTCTACTCGACCGAAAATAGGAAAAGAAACTCCTAAAATAGAGCAAGTTTTGGCAACTTAGATTATTTTCGGCCTGGTCCAAAATGATGTTTTTCTTCTTCTTCAGCAGACTTCACAAGTTCAGAGACAATATGTACCACTGACCACATACATACTAGAATATTTACATACATTTTTAGTCCGGCCGCTGGGTTCGACGACTGCCGAGTGCCGGGTCGTCGACTCTTTTTTTTAGTGCAACAAAAACGAAAAATGTTTCTGAAATGAGTTCGGACAGAGAGTCAGAGAGTAAATATTTGGATGTTTTTTTCTTTTCCCTTGGGCTATTTTATTACTCTACAGATACTGGGGCACTGGGCGTCTGGGCCCTTCTGGTGGGCCCTGGACTCATAAATATGAGCACAATATTACATAAGACTTATTATGCCGTATAATTGCATATTGTCATATTCGTCTAAATATTATATGTCACATACTACACATATTTCATAATATTTTCAGGATCGTCTCTAAATATATGTCAGAGTGTCGTAGACCCATAAAATCTACAGAAAAAGGATTTAATTTCAATTTTCATACATTATAAAATACATTATAGGCTAGTAAAAAAGTAAGGGACCAGGGCTATAGCATATATAGGCCTAAATGTTCAGGCATTTAATAGTCAAAAACTCTTGTAAATAGACTGTTCACTCACACTGTCCTGGTTCAGAATGCAGTGACCAGTGTTAACAAGTCAGTGAAGTCACAGTGTAATTCTTAAAAGTACATAAACTTAAGTTTTCCTTAAATGGATTCTTACGGTTTTTATTAATTAAATACCTTTTCCATTTTCAAAGTTTTATCTTTCCCGACTTACGTGAAAACAGTTTTATGATGCTGTATCCACTCCTTTTCCCGCACACCGAGTAACCTCGAAAGGAAAGGCGGTAAATTATAAACCGCGCGAGTTCCCTGATAAAGGATACCTCTCACGTCAGATGTCAGATGATAAGCCTTATCAGACTCGTCCTAATCAGACAAGTGCTCGCGACTCTACTCAATCAACGCGACCCAATAAACGGGCACGCACGGAACCGAAGGACAAGGAACCTCCATTTAAGGAGATTTAGAAATGTGCCGGCGCACAGTGTGTAATATTCAGTCTAACAATGGCGATACTAATGCCATAGAAAAAATAACCGCGTAGGTAAGTTCTAAGTATCGTGTAAATATCGATAAAAATAAACGAAATGAGATGTTTAATAAAGTTAGGTTTGCCTCGTGAGAACAGCAATACTCTGAGGGATTGTGAGGCTGAGACATTGCCTATATATAATCCTCTCAGTACTGTTTCCGCCGAAGGGATTTTATTTAGTGTTTCGTTGTCGCTCTATTCTGGGGCGAATCCGAGAGACTCATAAAATCCTATCTTAAGAAGAAAAGAAAAAAATACTCTTGACGTCCTTAGTTATTGTCTTAACCAATAACTTGCCACTATCAAGAATTCCCGACTTAGCCTTCATCAGACTGGCACATCTGGTTGGCTTATCGGAGGATCAACTAGGTAACGTTAATAGTCCGTAGAAACCTATATTCGGATGAGCCATCTGGCTACCGAAGTATTCAGATATAAATAAAATTGGAAAGTAAATAAAGCTCTATTAATAGAACTAGTATGTTTGGTATTTTACTGAGGCCTTATAATGGCCTCATCCAAATATCTGATATGTTAAATGGAAAAGGTTCAATTAATAAAACCATTAAAACCATTTTAAGATACTTAAGTTCCTCCGTGCTATTAGGAGCACATTTAGGAGACTTAAGTTCCTCGTACTATTAAGAGTACATTTATAATTTGGAAGCAAGTTGATCATTCAAGCTGATTATGAGTCAAAAAGCGAGAAAGGGTTGTTAATGAAATATAGTTAATGTTTCTCAGGCGGAGAAGTTAAGTGTTCTCGGCTACCCTGTGAGTTTTGGGCTTAGGTCCAGTAGGTCCGTGGTGGTCGCCTGGCCGTTTCTTACGCTTCAGTGTCTTAAGCACATATGAAGGGTGAGCATAAAGGCTCGGGATAAATGCTGTAGACGGATAAGTTTTATACGTTCCTTCAGACGATGGAAACATGCTA